TAGTGGTGGACAAGTTATAAGTCCATGTATTTAACATTCCTTATTTTGGTTTTGGAATAATGTATGCAAACCTCAATTTTTTTAAAAAAGTGATGGAAATGGGGAAAATTCTTACAAAAAAGTGTCCTTAGTTCATATTTATTTAAAATATAATAGCAAATCTTAATTTTGTAGTACACTGTAGTTTTTTTCTACTGTGGTATCTTTGGATAATATGATACTCTATCATTTACATTTTCTACAAAAAAATATTAAAAGGTTACACAGAAGAAATTATTTACAACATAAATAATAGCCAGGCACAGCTCTAGTCCAGGCATGTCAAACTACCGGCCCACGGGCCGGATGCATCACACCAAAACCGCGTGGGGTAGTGGGGGAAAAGTCACAATATGTCGCACAATGTCATGTGACGCCACGAGTTTGACATGCCTGCTCTAGTCTTAGGTCTTATAATGATCTAAGATGCTTGATGATTATGTGTCATCAAGTCCTGTCAATTTTTAGAAACAATATAAATGGTTTTTCTTCAGAATGATCTGATCACCATCTGGTCCTTAAGGTTTTTTCAGTGATGCACTATAATTCAGTTCATCCACCTTGCAGTTTTCATTGTCTGTTTCTCTTTTTTTCTACATTTCCCTCCCTCCAGAGAAGTCTGGAATGATTTGTTTTATCATCCATTTATTTTGTTCCATGGTATTCTCAGGAATCTTCTGCCACACCAAAATCAAAATTGTAAACACTCTGTTCTATTTTAGAGTCCAACTTTTATTTGAATAGAGTATCACAAGAAAATTGCATAATTCTGATATTAGAAAGTACAAACATAGCCTAGTACCTGAATATCTTTTCCAACGTTTTTGCTACTCTTCTAAGTGCTAGTATGTGGTTTATTTCCTGATTACTAATTCCTTAACATTGATAATTGATCCTAAATGGCAGAAATTATCCATGGTGGATAATTTGGAGCCATGGTGGCACAATAGTTAGAATGCAATATTGCAGGCTAACTCTACCGACTGCTAGCAGTTTGATCCTGACTGACTCAATCCTTCCAAGGTCAATAAAATGGGGACTCAGATTATTGGGGGAAATATGCTGACTCTGTAAATCGTTTAGAGAGGGCTGTAAAGCACTATGAAGCGGTATATAAGTCTAAGTGCTATTGCTATTACTATCAGTTCTGTATCTTCATTGTCAATTCTAAGACTGGTGGCTATACGTGTTATCATTAGTTTGGTCTTTATATTTAATCTTAGTTTCACTTTTGTGTTCCTTGACTTTCATACCAGTGCAGATCAGTTGCATTTCCTGGTGTTGAAGTACTGGTGGTACCTTGGTACTCTTATTAATTGATTTCGGAAGACAAATGAGTACTATAAATGATAAATACCAAACCACGTGACTTACCTGTAACCCTTTGTTTTGACTGGGAAGGACTTCCTTTTCCTATGTCAGTGACTTCCCCAGCATGGCTGACTTCTTCTCCATTCTCTGTAGCTGACTCCCTCTTCCTATCACAGTGTGTTCAGAATCAAAGAAACAACGACTACCAGGACATTTTCATATCAAAATGCGTTGAATACCAAATTCAATGGGTTTTGAAGCATTTGAGAACCAAGGTACCACTGCAGTATTATCAGAGTAGATCAGGTCACTGATGTCTCTTCCACTAATATTAAAACCATACTCATCTTCTTTAAATCCTTCAATATACAGTATTCAATATACAATATATAAGTTGAATAAATAATAAATAATGATATAGTATGTAGCCATTGATTCCTTTTCCAACCTAGAGCCAGGTTGTATCATCATTTTCAATCTGCATTGGTGGGTCATTTAATTTAATTTTAATTTAATTTAATTGCCATCCATCTTACCTCAGGGTAACTCTGGGCAGCTTACAACTATAAAAAAATAAAAACTGTAAAAGCATAAATAAAATACTACACACAGCCAAATACAGCAGCCCAAAAAAAAGATGGGAATGGTGGGAGCAGACTGGGAGGAGGTGACATCTGTTGTTAATCCACTACCTCCACTGCGATGCTCCCCCATTGCAGCATCAGCCAACTGGTCTTAGGCTTTTATGGAAGGTCAGAAGAGTTGGAACCAACCTCACTCCAGGAGGTAAGATGTTCCACAGGGCAGGCACAACAGCAGAGAAGATCCCATAAATGGGAATACTCAGGCCAACAGGGTCCACAGCATGCCTCCTCTGCCTTCTTGGATTAGACGGACCAATCCCAGTAGAATAAGACGATCCATCAAGTACCTATACTATACAGTATTTCTGTATATTCAATCTGATGATGCTCATGCGTATTGGCATTATTTTGGTTGTTGATAAAAAAATAATTGGATTGGCAAAAAGTGATAGTCAATCTCTTGCTTTATTTCAGTTTCTAGACTAAACAGTCCAACTATATCTTCCATAATATTCCAGCTTTGGCATTTCAGTCTCCACTATTAGCAGCACATCTTTATTGCAGTTCAAAACTGATCTGAGACATACAGTACATGATGTTTCAGGAAAGAAAGGGTGTTTGCAGTATAGCAAAAAGCTCCAAGTAAACGAAAAGGAAGATCAAATACAACAAGCTAATTTTACATAAAAAACAGAAATGCACCAAATAGGCTTGTACATTTGGAAAATATGTTGTTACTAAATTATTTACTAGGGTCTTCATGTACTTCTAACCAGCTTCCCAATGCCATTGCTTCCAGATCCATTGTACAACCATTAGTATAATAATGAAAGACATTCAAAGGCTACCTGTTATGGAAAGACATTTCCAGAGTATGGAATTACTACAGCACTATGCTAATATTTATTGTACTTTGTAGCCTATCTACATAATTATTCTTCTTAATCAACTACAGAATTTGGTCTTGTTCACAAATATTTTACATGATCTAAAAATTATGCAAAATGTCACACTGAACTGTAGCCATCATGCTGAGATAAAGTCTCCATATGAGCAAATACTTTATCTTATGTTCTACTTTAGATATAAGAGTTAAAAAAAATCAAAGTTTTAAAAAAGTTGTTAAATACTGATAAATGACTACTTTCCCTGAAACAATTAATGACCAAATTTGTTTTGAGTACAAACTGATCAAGTTATTGTGTGGTATCTATTTTAAATGAACAGATTGCATATCATATGTTGTACCAGGAAGTAAATGTTAGCATGAAAAAATTACAGAGTTTAGAGTTACTACTTAGGCTGAGTAAGAATATGGTGCTGTTATTATTAGAAGTCACAATTTGGCTTTCAGGGATAAAAGATTGGATTCGGATTTATTTGTTATTAAAGAAAATAATTGATATGATTAATCTTAGATGCAAAAATCTAGTTTTCAAGGCTATCAAAATATTTTATAACTTTGTAATAGTTCTTTATTTTGACACACTGCATCGTAGAAGATAACTGTATGCAATACTTATTTGTGGTGCACATCTTCCCCAACAATAAGTTGGTGCCCTGGGTTAATTCCACCCTCTTAGTATTTGCAAATTGACATAGCCATAAACAAGTCTTTGATGCTTTCTCCCTGCATCTTAAAATTTGCATACACCCTTTTAGTCTCTCCAAAAGTTCTTATAATTGTTGGAATTAGGTATTGCCTGAGTGTGGTTGCTTTTATTTTGGTTGCTACCAAACTCCAGGCCAAGTTTTAAGCTCTGCTTTTAAGCAGTATTGCTCTTGAGTACTCCAGCTGAACTACCAAGCCAAGCTTCAGGCAGGAATCAAGACATGCTCCTTATCATAGTTTGTGGTCCTGGCCATTGATTGACAGCCATCTTGCTTGCCTGTAATAGTTGTAATTACCAGATGTTACCCCTACTTCTCATTTGCTTGCTATCATCTCCTTATTGCCTTTTCTCTTACACAGCCAAACCCACACTGTTTTAGCTTTCCCTTTTATAGACTAAGGACATAAGTGGGGTAAAGCTGTTTATGGACATTGGCAGATTCCTGAAAACACCAGAGTGTGGCTCCCATCTTCTCTCAAGTTTCCAAAGCTATAAACTTTTATAGCTTTTTGGAGAAGAAGGTAAGCTGAGCCTGGCCTTGGGAAATTATAGATGCAAGCACTGACAGAGCAATCTTAGCTTCACTTCCACACATACAGTATCTCACAATCCCTTTTGAGAATCCAAGCTATTATTTTTCAAATTACTTAAAACTTTCAAGATCCTACCACACCACTAGGATTAAGTTAGGTCGCTGGTAATGCTGCACTTCCAAGGAATCCAGAATTCACGGGAAATTTGTATACTAGTATTAAAACTTTTTCTCATCTTTGGAAATTGTTTAATTCACAAATAACATAGAGTAATAATACTTTAGAAGAGGGGTCCCCAACCTCTCAGCCATGGCCCACTAGCATGAGCTGTTTGCAACCGGGCTGCAGGAATGGTGAGCAAGTGCGCAAGCGCTCCCATCGCCATGCAAATGGAGCTGTGCACGGACACTTGCCAGCCACCCGTAGGGAACCATCCCCTCTCCCCCCCTCCACCGGTCCACGAAGCCAGAAAGGTTGGGGAACTCTGCTTTAGAACAATCTATTGTTCCATTGACTAATACGAAAGAATTGCGCACTACCACAGCATGTCATACAGCTAGATATAGTGCTCTGCAGTGGCTACGAAGGCATGCATGTTCACTGAGGTGGAAAAAGAAAGGGCAAATCATGAAATGTGTATGAATATATAATTATGCAAATACTGCAAATTACAGACTTATGTTGGATGTTCCACAAGTGTGGAACTCAATGTTGTTCTAAAATTGCTGTCACAGAGTTTTTGACAACTTTGTCTCACAGCTTCATTTGGAATGGTGATGAATTAAAGACAACACATATTTAATGTGAAGTAATTTTTAACCAACTATTTAATGCATTTTGCAAATCTGTTTCATTTTAGTTAAGACTTAGAAAATTCCAATATTATCTGATTAAAAGTTGTTTCTTACTGTTTTTAACAGGACTTGGATTATATGCAGTAAACACAGTATATGGAGATACCATTGTTTTGCCTTGCCATTTAGAAGTTCCTAACGGTCTTTTGTTTGCAAAATGGAAATATGTAAGTATAAATTATGTTAAATTATTTCCATTATTGCAATGTAGAGGGAATTTTGTGGGACTAATGAACATATTACTCAAAAGTAGCCTTTAAAATTTTGTGTTAAATGTGTGGAATAAATAAGTCTTTTGGTATTTTTATGCAGAAGCTTATTAGCAATATGCCACTTCTCTTAGCGTTCATTAGGATAAAAGAACTATAATAATTTGTTCGCTCATTTTGAAACCGATTGCATAGTTGTTAAGACAAAGTGTTTTACTGTGGTAAAAAGCCTATTGCTATATTTTTATTATGCTCACATTGTTTCATACATACAGTTTTTTATGCTCACTATAGCAACATGAAGCAAGTTCATCGAATCAATAGTTGTGTGTCATACTGCGTCTGAAAGTGCACTGCCTGCATAAAGGAGACCAAATACAGGTCCAGCAGAATGCTAATAAAAATTGCTGCGGTTGCTCCCTCTTCTCATAGCATATTGAAACCACTACAGAATAAATAGCCCATTCTAACAACAACCAATAATCCAGCTGTAGTTTGTAACAAAGAAAGAAAGGCTTTCTAAGTTTTGTGATTTTTTTTTCTGCATTAGGCTTTTGTGTTGTTTTGGCAAGGAAATATTCTGAGGTGAATTACTCAGCGTGAGTGTGTTTATCTGAGTTGATGTAGCAAGCCTGTGTGCACTGCACAGAGGCTTGGGAAAAAAGCTCCACTTTTACTCAATAGTACAAGAAAGTGCTGGAATGCCAAGAGATAAATATACTGACAAATGTGACCTGAAGCAAGCTTCTTTTGAGTATTCCAACTAATTCTTCAGCCTTCTTCAGGACTCTTCTATCTGAAGGTGCATGTACATATCTTCCATAGACACAGAGAGTTTTCTGTTACAATCACCACCTAATGGTCTTTTGTTTACAGAATGGGAATAAATCAAATTTCTAAGTTATTGAATATAACAGTTCTGATTGAATTATTTCAGGGAGGAAGAATAATGATAACTAAACTTCCTTTTTTTTCCACTTTAAACGTTACTTGTTCTTCTGCAAAACTCGGGTTTTTATAAGCTTTGAATATTTCTCCTTAGTACTTTTTTCAGCTATTTTAACAATATTGTCAACTATACAAAGCAAGAGAAAAGATGGAATAGCACAAATTCAGTAGTACAATAATCTCTGTAGGCTTTACTAGAAATAAACCAAGGTGTTCCAGAGAGGTCTTTTTCAGCCTGAGATTCTCAAGATAAATTAGTTCAGTACATCTCAAGCTTATCAAATTAAATGCTTCTCCAGATGCTTCGTGATTTTAATTTCTTAATAACTGGATATTTCCTGATGAATTTTTGCTGCATATGATCCAATCTGTTGAATCAAATATTGTCTTACAGTAGTGTTGAATAAAATATTTTTGGGAGCCACAAGAAAAATATGAGTTCATTAACTTTCTTCACTTATATTTTCCTAACACATACTGAGCAGCAATTTGCCTTTGATGCTGCAGGTAGTATCATATTTAGTATGTAATTAATCTCTGGAAATGTGCCTAGTTCTGGTGATCCAACTTGGCATATAAGCTTATTTTGTGGAGATAATACTGCAGAGTTAATCTGTGATTTGATTCTCATATATCTCTGCTTTTCCCCAAAATCTTTTGCTGAAATATAATTTCCAACCTGACTTACCTAAACAGTGTAAATTTACACACAAAGAAGATGAGCACACACACTCACATACACACATACATAGACTGAGTTTTATTCTACTTGTGGTTTGCTAACATACGTCCACATAGGAATGCTGAAAGAATGAAAACTAGAAATTATTTTCTTTTAGAGTAGGAAAAGTAAACTCAGAGTTTTAAATAGGAACCGAGAACATTTCTCTTACTGTATTTCTAGAACTCTGTTCTGTAATGAGAAATAATCAGGCACAACATACCAGAGTAGATATTATCAAAGACTGGGGAAAGGGTTAAAAATGTCAGACTGTTTAAGAACTATTGATTTATTGTGCTCTACAGGTTTTTTAAAAAATATTTTAAATGACATGCTTTATTGTCAATGCCTCACAAACACATAAGCTTTGTAATTTGTGAAGTTGGTCCACAATCTAAGCCAGTGTGGGCTATTGCTGAGAAATCTGGAAATTGGCCTTTAATCTGGTTGAAAAAAACTGATTCCCCAATGGCCAAATCTTTAAAATCTACTTTCAGTAATTTACCTGGGTTGTAATATATTTAAATAAACGATTGGATTCAGAAGCCTTAAAAAAACTGAATGTATTTTAATTGTTCATGTGTATTGTGTAAATATTAAAATAAGCATTATATATGAAGAGCTCTGAATTATTGAAATGACATAAAACATGAGAGAGAGAGAGAGAGAGAGAGAGAGAGAGAGAGAGAGAGAGAGAGAGAGAGAGAGAGAGAGGGGCAGCAGTATAAATTTGATACATATTTTCCCCCTTCTAGGAAATTGCAAACAAGCCTTCAGAGTCCATTGCGTTGCGATCTGCAAAAAAGCCAAGTGCGCAATATGACAATGTACCAGAATACAAAGACCGAATAAATCTTTCTGAAAATTATACCCTGTCCATTAATAATGCAAGAATTGGAGATGAAAAGAAATTTGTATGCATGCTTGTAACTGAAGACGATGTATTTGAACAGGCTACACTTGTCAAAGTTTTCAGTAAGTACCGCTTAATTCCTCTAACAGAAGGATGATGTCAAAGCCATTGAATGCTTTCAAAAGTTCTGTTCAAAAATTGCCAGTGAATTGTAAATTGTCCTGTGACATAAATTAAAAATTACATGGAAAATAATCTTAATGCTTGTATTTAAGTTAATTTTAAATCAAATTGAATTTTTGTCCCAGCTACTTTGTTCTAGCCTGTGACGTTGTTGAACTGTAATTCTGTTTCTCACTTCATGGAACATTTTTCCTGTGGTTGCCACGTTTGTCCAAAATGGTGCCTTCTAAAGTAAAGTAAGGGGCTGAACATTCCCTGAAAAAATGGTCAGTTGCAACTCTGAAATTTTTAGTACTTCCCATCTGGAGAACATCAACCTGGGAAAAGATGGTCTAATACAGGGGTAGGCAACCTTGGCTCTTTTATGACTGGTGGACTTCAACTCCCAGAATTAGTCCACCAGTCATAAAAGAGCCAAGGTTGCCTATCCCTGGTCTAATACAATGTGTCTCAACCTTGCCAATTTTAAGATTCTGGGAGTTAAAGTCCATGTATCTTAAAAGTTGCCAAAGTTCTAAAAATTCAGTAATTAAAACTGAAGAGATCTGAGGAGAAAAGTACACAAACTGCAACCAATCACTTCTCCAACATAAGAGTTCCTCATTAAGCATTCACTTTTTGAGCAATAGTTTGAAAAGATTCAGCATATCTGTCAGAACAAGTTTAAGTTTTTATTCTTGTGGAATTTTTACAAGTTTAAAAACACTTGTAAATATCTAAAACTCAAAATTAGAATAAATGCAAATATTTATCCACATCTTATGCACTATAATACATAACTTCAGTGGGACTTGCATTGGAGAGGCACACATACATAAAAGAGCAGTATAGAGATTGTTTTTATACTCTTCAAGAAAGTTTTTCTCCAAGAATTAAGATGGAACAATAATAGCTCCATATATTGTTTGCTCTATTGATATGCTGGGTGGTAAGAAGGAGTGCTTCTTTTTTATAGCATAGCATTGAAAAACTAAAATCTCTGATCTATGAAGCAAGTTGGGGAGGATGACTGGGAGAAATCTTTTTAAAGAATAAATCTTACTGTCAATTTAATGGGAGAGAGAATAGATGTAGTGTTATAATTGTTCCATTAATCTCCAACCTATTTTTAGTTTTTGTGTGGTTAATTTACCATGAGAATATAAGAATAGTCCTACCAGTTTTAATTGAGCACTTTGCTCAAAATTTGCCAAATAGATGACTCTAGGCTTTTCACAACCACAAAATGGAACTCTGTCTCTCATATTATTTTCTTTCAACTGGTATTGTAGACATGCTGCCCCTAATCAGAGATAACACTGACTGTTCAAGAGAGTTGATAATCCTCCATTAATTTATTCAATGCCTCTGTAATGTCATCCAAGTCAGTGAATATCATTTCCTGCGGTAATGAATTTCAGAGGTTAATAATGTTCTGCATGCAGAAGTATTTCCTTTCTCTGTTCAAAATCTCCTTCCAGTCAGTTTCTTTGGACGGCCCGTGGGCTTAGTATTGTCAGAAAAAGAGAAAAACTTATTTTGGTGCTTTTCACAAATTCATAAACTATACCTTAATCATACCACACCCCTCCCCACATGCTCTCATTATCTTACTTCCAAGCCTAAAATGACCAAACATTATAGCTTTTCTTATAAAGATGTCATTTGAGTACTCAAATAATTTTTGTTACCCTTTCTATACCTTCTTTAGATCTATTATATCCTTTTAGAAATGTGGTAATTAGAATTGTGCAGTATCTCACATGCAGTCTAACTAGGTTTGTATAAATGCATTGTAATGTTGACAATTTAATTTTTAAGTTATTTCTTGATGATTTCTAGAGCTGGATTTGCTTTTTTTTTCTTAGCTATCAACTGAGTCAACATATTTATTGATATTAACAACTTATAGATACTTTTTTACTGGTTAGTAACAGATGGCTTAGATCCATCAGTGTTGTTACAATTATTTGACATCCATAGTTATGAAAATATTTGAAAAGTTAGTGCTGGCCCACTTTAAAACCATCACGGATCTACTGTTAGACCCCTTGCAGTTTGCCTACCGAGCAAATAGATCAGCAGAGGATGTTGTTAATAAGGCTCTGCACTACATTCTACAACATCTTGAATCTCCAAAGACCTATGCAAGAGTCCTTTTTGTAGATTTCAGCTTGGCATTTAATACCATCATTCCAGATATTCTTCTCACTAAACTAAATCAGCTAGCGGTGCCTGACCATACCTGTAAGTAGATCATAAGCTTTCTAACAGACAGGAAGCAGCAAGCGAAGCTAGGCAAAATCACATCAGATACCTGTACAATTAGCACAGGGCGCCCCCACGGTTATGTGCTCTCTCCACTTCTCTTCTCTCTATATACAATGACTGCATCTCAAAAGATCCCTCTGTTAAAGTATTGAAGTTTGCAGATGGTACAATAGTGATTGGCCTCATTCCAGACAACAACAAATCAGGTACAGACAGAAGTTTGAACAACTAGCCTTGTGGTGCAGCTGGAACAATCTTGAACTGAACACACTCAAAACTGTAGAAATGATAGTAGACTTTAGGAAAAACCCTACTATTCTACAACCTCTTACAATACTAGACACACAGTATCAACAGTAGAGACCTTCAAGTTTCTAGGTTCTATAATATCTCAAGATTTAAAATGGACACCTAACATCAAAAATGTCATCAAAAAAGCACAACAAAGAATGTTTTTCCTGCATCAAATCAGAAAACTAGACTGCCCAAGGAGCTGCTAATACAGTTCTACAAAGGAATTATTGAGTCTGTCATTTTCACCTCTATAACTGTCTGGTTTAGATCTGCAACCAAACAAGACAGACATAGACTTCAGCATATAGTTAGAACTGCAGAAAAAACAATTGCTACCAGCCTGCCTTCCCTTGCGGAACTGTATACTGCAGAACTGAGAAAATATCTACAGACCCCTCACATCCTGGACATAAAGTATTTCAACTTCTTCCCTTAAGACAATGCTATAGGGCATTTCACACCAGAACAACTAGACACAAGGACAGTTTTCCCCCCCATGCTGTCACTCTGCTTAAGAACTAATTCCTACAACACTATCAAAATACTTAATAAAGCTGTATTACTATGATACTCATCTTTCCTATTACCTATCCTTATGACTATAACTTTGCTGCTTGTATCTTACAATTTATATTGGTTTTTTTTTAGTATCCTAGTATGATTTATGTTGTTTGTTTAGCTAGTACTCTATGACTATCACTAAGTGTTGCATCTTATGATTTATGATGAAGTGTTGTATTTCATGATTTATGATGAATGTATTTGCATGTTGTATATGATCATGATTATCACTATTACTTGTATGTATAGTGAGAGCTTATGCACTGGAAGCAAATTCCTTGTGTGTCCAACCACACTTGACCAATAAAAAATTCTTAGATTTGAGTTCTTTGTATAAATAATATCAAAATATAATTATATTACAATCAAGTTTTCAGGTTCTCATCTGATTTGATTCACATCTATGTTGAGAAATCTGCATACAGGTAGTCCTCATTTAATGATTATAATTGGGCCCGGCAAATCTGTCACTAAGTGATTTATTAATAAGCCAGATATTGCATGGCTGCAACTAACTTAATGACCTTACTTCTGTGATGTTATTAAGAAATCACCTGAAGTCATTAATTGAGATATCATGTGAGTGTGATTTGTGATTTTATTGCTGGCTTTTCCATTGATTGTACTTGTTGGAAGCCAGCTGTGAAGTGTGCAAATGGCAATCACTATGAGACACTGCAAAGGCTATAAACACCCACTTGTTGAGAAGCGCTTAATCTCAATTACAGGAGTTCAGGAATGCTGTGATTGTAGTAAGTTCAAGGAAGGATTGTAAAATTACTTTCTCAGTGCTGTAGTAACTTTGTATGGTGACAGGCAATCATTCATTGAGGATTCGCTGTATGTGACTCAGTCCCAAATATTTGAAAGTTGAAATGTAACCCAAGTCTTTATCATTTTCTTTCACTAAAAACAAAAAACAGAGCAGCCATCACAGCCTGGAATTGTAAATCAAGCAGAATTTCTAGAAACGGAAGAGCTAAAACTGGTAAGTGAACTTTTTTTCCTGTTAAATACCTTTAAGCTGATCTGTTATGTCCTGGAAAACAGAATAGAAAAGGGACCATGGCAAAAGGGACACTTCAATCCACAAAAGGGGGGTGCAGATTCAGAGACACTCCACATTAATTATACTAGGTATTAGTTCAATGGGGGAATTGATTCCATGAGCTTTCAGAATTCTGTTACAGAAATCTAGGTTGTCCTTGTTTCTTGTGTTTGCCAGCCTTACAGAACTTGACAACTGTCTTATTTTGCTGGGATTTTTTACATGAATTTAGTATGTTAAAGGCAAGGATTATGTTAGGATTTAAACAGAAGAGCATTAGCATTAGATCCTCCCATGCTACATAGCACATCAGCCAGCAAACAGAAAACAATGTAACCATAAAAAAGCTTTTTTTTAAAAAAATAAAAAATAAAAAGGCTTTAAAGGCAGACTGCATTCTATATAAATTGGCCACATTTTACAGATGTGTAAATAAATACAGCTTTCTGCATAGTGAAACCTATTTATGGAATAAATTGCTGCTAAACCTAAGGTAGCTCTCCCTGTAAGGAGGATGCTCAAAATATATTTTATTAGGAAAACATTTCAAGTGGAATTACTTGCTACATTTTGCAATCGAAGCCTTTATACAGATTCCATAACTTTATTTGTGGAATTTATACATAGAAACAGTTGTGCTATCACCACCTTCCCTTCCTAGGTATTATAATAATAGGTAGTCCTCGACCTATGGCCATTCATTTAATGACAGTTCAAAGTTACAGGGGGCCTTGGAAAAAGTGACCTATGACCCATCCTCAAAGTTGCAATCATCACACAGTCACATGATCACAATTTTGGCAACTGGCTCTTATTTACAGTGGTTGCAGTTTCTTGTGGTCAAAATTTGCTACCTACCCAGCCAGCTTCCAAGAAGCAAAGTCAACTAGGGAAGCAGCACTTGCTTAACAACTGTGTGATTTACTTAACGACCATGCAGTTTGCTTAACCACCATGGTGATTTGCCTATCAACTACAGTAAAAGGGAACATATAATTGGATCTAGTCATATGATGCATCACTTAATGACTGCATCACTTAATGACCAAAATTCCAGTCCCAATTGTGGTCATAGGTCAAGGACTACATGTATTATGGGTTTAATAGATATATTACGTATTTATTTTTTAATTTTATGCAGCATTTTCTTTATAACCCAATGATATCTACATTTATTTGATTATTTCAAATAATTTATCCTTGTATCTAACATTCTTTAATTTCTTATATTTTTTTCATAGTATATCCATGTTCTAGTAGCTACACTAAGGCTAAATAATGGGGTATACAACAATTGATTTAAAAGCTTAATGAAATGCAGACTTGCAAGACAGAAATTTAACAGGAAAGTCTTCAGACATCCCATATATAAGGCACAGCAGAGCAATTTAGTGTGAATCCCATATTAGTATATTGGAATTGTAACTGCAAGAAAAGCACATCATTTGCACCACAGTTACTACCATCCCTCCTTGTAAGGAAAGCTTCTTTTATAATAGTATTGTCATGGTTCCCGACAGATGAAACTCTTCAAAGAGTTCGAGGCATTGTTTACCTTAAAGAATCTTTATTCGAGAAGCATAGCATCAGCACTTACATAGCCAAAGCCAAAATCTGAATTTCCCTCCCCTGAGCACATAGTGTCAAAGCACAATTCCCTCCTCTAATTTACAGTCATAAATCACATTCTCCAGTTAGTTTGAAATGCAGACTTTCCCTCCAGTTCTCCAACCCGCCAATTCTTATCATCTCTTATTTCAAAAACCTTGGTTCTCACACTAGTTACAGTATTGTTATGTCTAACTAAACTCCCATGCACATTCATTCCCCCCCCCAGCATCATCTAACTCTAAAAGTAAAATATAAGAAGAAAATGCATCTCTAACTATTGTCAAAGCAAAAACATCCCATTTTATCAGCGTTGACAAGTATACAAAAATAGATGTGTTGGAAATAATAACTTTAAGTATACAGGTAGTCCTTACTTGATGACCTAACTGGGACCAGACTTTCCACTATCGAGTGATGTAGTTGTTAGATGAAAAATGACGTGACCACATCATTTAGGGATGGCAATTTCGGCAGTCCTGGTTGCAGTTATTACGCTAGGACCTCCCACTTCTCCTTCCATGTTCACTCTGCTTTAAACTGTTCCCCACACCTGCCTATCGCACTCACCCATCTCCGCCTTTTGGTTCAACTTGGATCCCCCTACTTCGCTGCCCTAAATGTCCTGGTCTCTGCTACCCCCAGCACTTCGTACTTTGCTGCTCCTGCCAACCCATCATCCTTAGTTTGTCACCCTGCCACAAATATATATTTGATATCTTTTTCCTCCTGCTGCTGCTGAGATGGACCTGGACTGACCCTTGGTGCAAGAGTAGCAGAACGCAGGACATAGATGAAGAGATAGGTGGATGAGAAGTTGAAGCACATCCTTCTGTTGTAAATGCAGGTGGTCACTCTAATTTTGATCACATGGCCTTGGAGGTGCTCAATGGTCATAATTTCAAGGACTTGATATGTGCCTACCAATAGTTCAATGCTATCATAACTTTGAACAGTCACTGAAAAAACTTGGTTAAATGAAGGCTGTCTGTTACGAACAAAAGAATATGCAATGTCCAGTAAGCTGAAATCCATAACCAAATTGTGTATTTGAATTCTTAGCTTGGGGAATGTATTACAAGAGATGGTTATCCTGCAGGAAACATAACATGGTTTAAGAATGGAGCTATTTTGCAACATGCTGAAGAAGGTAGGATTTTGTATCTAGATGTTATTGCATGCATGTTTGTTTATCTTCACCAATCAGTTTAAAGTAAGTTATTTTAAGCATGGACATCATTAGCCTTGTTAACAATGCTGCAATTAACATAGTAAACAATGATGGTTGGATTTTATTGTATTTTTATCAATTTTTTAAAATAATAATTATTGACACAATTTAAAGTAGTTATTTAACTGTTATCTAGGAGCCAGTATGATATAATGAATGAGAACCCTTTAGTTTTAGGCCTCCTTAGGCCCAAAACTAACAGGCTGATTTGGGGCCAATCACTCCCTCAGTCCAAATCAGCTTCAAATTCTTGTGATGAGCCAGCTGATAAGCCATACTTTTATTGCATCGTGCATTCATAAACAAAGCAGGAGAGAAAAAAAACAAGTGCAGTGTAAAACTCAAATTGATCCTGAAACAACTAGATATTGTTTATACATACTTTTATTTATTCTATAGTTCCAATTCTAATTCTTTTCTAATGTGATTCTGATTCTAATTCTGTTCTATTCTTTCTAATTGTTATATTCTGATAAATGATAAAGTGATAAAGTTGGAAGGGACCTCAGAGGTCATCTAGTCCAACCTCCTGCTCAGGCAGGAAACCCTATACCATTTCGGACAAATGGCTGTCCAGTTTCTTCTTAAAAACTTTCAATGTTGGCGCATTCACCGCTTCTGGAGGCAGGTTGTTCCACTGGTTAATTGTTCTAACTGTCAGGAAGTTTCTCCTTAGTTCTAGGTTGCTTCTCTCTTTGGTTAGTTTCCACCCGTTGCTTCTTGTCCAATTCTAATATATAATTCTATCCTAATACTTTTCTTTTAATTTTAAGTCTGTTTTATGCTTTCTAATTCTTTTATATTCTAATTCTATTCAAATTCTAATTCTATAATTCTAATTATATTCTAATGCTATTCTAGCTATAATTCTATTCTTATTCTAAATCTATTTTAATCTAATTCTGTTCTATTACAATTCTAATTCTGTTCTTTCTATTCTATTCTAAATCTATGCTATTCTAATTCTTTTCTAATTCTAATTATATTCTATTTCTATTCTAATTCAAATTCTATTCACATTCTAATTCTGTTCTATTCTAATTCTGCTCTAATTCTATTTGAATTGTAATTCTTTCAAATTGTAATTCTATTTTTACTTTTAATTCAGTTCTGTTCTAATTCTAAAACTATTCTAATTGTAGTCTAGTTCTTATTCTATTCTATTCCAATTCTCTTCTAAGCTGTTTCAATTCTACATTTATTCTATTCTAATTCTAATTGCATTCTAATTCTTATTCTTTTCTGTTTTAATTCTCTTGTAATCTAATTCAATTCTACATTTATTCTACTGTAATTCTAACTCCTATCCTATCCTATCCTATCCTATCCTAGTCTGTTCATTTATTTTTTAATTCTCTTCTAATTCTAATCTAATTCTATTAACCTGCCTTTGCCCCTGCTGCTCTTCCTTACATCCGTCTCCTCCAAATTCCCCTGCTCATCGCTGTCACACTGCCTTGCCCCTCCCTGTCCACCTCCACATCCCATTGCCCTTGCCTTCCCCCTCAGTTCTTCTATCCCTACCTCACCTCTGCCTTCTCTCTTCCCCTCCACCTATTTATCCCCTTCCGCCTACTTATTTCCCTCCCATACTGCCTCTGCCCTTTTCCTATCCATTTCCCTTATCCTCACTCTCCCTTGCTCCCTCACTACCTTTGATAATCTGCATGGATGAAATCATGAAAATATTACAATCCCCCCCTCCATTCACTCTTACTCACCCTTCTACTCTATGCCCCATTCCCCTACTCCTCTCCCCTGCCCCCTTGCTATTCCACTCTGGCCCACTGTACCTCTTTGTCCTCCATCCATTCATCTTCTCTCTCTCTCTCTCCCTCTCCTCCGCTCCTCCATCTTCCCTCTCCCTCCCTCTTTCTTAGCTCTGGTAATTATCTGTCTCGATGAAGTAATAAAGGCATTATAATTTCCCTCTCCCTTCTCTTCCTGTCTTGTACCCCTCTCCTCCCAATTCCTATCAGGCCCATTCTTCTTCATTCTCCTCCCCTCCCTTCCCTCTCCTCTTTATCCTGTCCCCTTCCCCTCCTACCCATCTTGCTCTACCTCTTTGTTCCCCTCCCCTTCACCTGATCCTGACACTGACTCTCAACCTTACCAACACTCTCAGCCTATTTCTCACCCTTTCACCCTCACTCTCATCCCTGCCCTAATGCTCTCAGCCTCACTTCTACCTTAAATCTAACCCAAATATTCATCGTCACTTACCTCTCTAAGAGTTGGCTCCAAATGAGGAAAGCTTCCCCAGAGTCCAGGAGCTCTGCTGAAGAGCAGCTCATCTCTAGGAAGGCATCTTCACTCTGATAACTGATAACTGAAAGTAACTGACACTTTAGTCTGCAGGGATGAAGTCATAAAGCCATTCCATTCTGAAGGAGGTGACCCGCATTTCTTATCCTCCTATCAAAGTTCACCTGCTCCTCTACCTTTTATGACCTATACCCATGTCAAACAAATCTCTCTAGGAAGCTACCAAATGAATCACTAAAGCTGTCTATTTGTCTCTTTTCTTTTTTTGCATAGAAACCATAGCTCTTTGGATGTGGATTGGATGTATTATAGAAGCTCTACTAAGTGCTTCAACACTGTGAGCAGCTTAATAGTCTGCTTTCTAAAGTCAAGGGTTGGAAGCAGACTTGACTGTGTTTGGCATAGACCAGTGTTTCTCAACCTTGACAATTTTAAGGCATGTGGACTTCAACTCCCAGAATTCCACAGCCAGCATTGCTGGCTGTGGAATTCTGGGAGTTGAAGTCCACATGCCTTAAAATTGTCAAGGTTGAGAAACACTGGCATAGACCTTAAAATAGATTTGTCCCCATAAATCAACAGGATTGAATCTAACAGATCTCACTGATTTTAGTGGCACAGCTTTGAAAACTTTGAATCCAACCAATTGTCTGGAAAAACCAATAAATTTTAAACCAAAATTATTTCAGCCTGTCACATTTAGACCCATTGCAATATATATTAGGCATTGTTTTCTGTTTGAGAAGGGGAAAAAATCTTTTAAATTTATTACTTTCTTCTCTATTTACTGTTTGAAGTCTCTGTCTTCCACATATATCTCTTGTCACTTTGTCTTATTTAGTCAGAGAAATTCCTTCTGTTTTCCTCAGAGGCCAGGTGCTATAAACAGTGGAAATGGAATTTGGAGAGCAAATTAAATTGCATGCAAACCTATCCTAAAAGGGATCAATCTGCTTGTGTACATCGGTGATAAGAGGGTCTCCTGCTTGAATAGGGGTTGGACTAGAAGACCTCCAACATTCCTTCCAACTTTATTATTATTTGGTTATTCCATTTAAATTAATAAATTTAGGATTAGACATACACAAACTTAGTATTACTTCCACTTGGATATCCTAAATAGAATCACTAGAATTTACACTTTTTGTTTGCAAATAACCTTGTGTAAATCATGCTTTTTCTTTTAAAAGCTGTTGTCATAGATGAACAAACCGATCTAGATAAAGCCAGTGGACTCTATACCATCAAATCTTCCCTAAAATATAAACCAACAAAGGATGACACTGGTGCACAGTTCACATGCACTGTAACATATTTTGGACCAACTGGACCAGAGATAATACGATCAGAATCAGCAGTCCTTGACATTTACTGTAAGTTCACGAATGGTTTACTGCATTAAAAAACTAGCAATTTATTGTCAGATAAATAACTTTCTAACAAATTTTGCACAAGTGATGCATTTCCAAAAATCAGACAAGCATAACATATTCATATACATGCAGTTGTTTGCCATGTTTTGCCCTTCCCTTTTGAGAAAAGGTGTTTATTCCTTTAAGTTAAGAAGCAAGAGTGAAATCTGCTGTAACATGTGCTTTCTAATATTTGACTTACAGCCAAAACTACCTACACAATGCAGTGGAATATTCTCTTGTAAGCCTCTGAAAAGCTTTTCCCCAAATGAATACTCTGTGAATATATAACAGCAGTGCTGAAAATTCTCAGCTATGTTCATGATGGTTGGCAAAACCTGAGACAAGACTATATATAATTTATCCTGTTCTAGGTTTTGTTCATTTATATAACACATTCTCAACTGACTAAAGAAAAACCAGGTTGCCACCAAATATCTATGAATTTACAAACTTTTTAAAGAGGAGATTAACTTATAATGTGATTTATTTGATTTCTTTTTTGAAGATGTACCTTCAGGCAAAATTTGCTGCACCATGGTTTT